ACACACACACACACACACACACACACACACACACACACACACACACATACACACACACTGTGATTGGGTACATATAATTAAATGTAAAAGTACTGTGGCCTCTGGGGTAACAAAACCGAAGCACCTACTTATAGGAAATCAAATTTACAAGTAATGGAAGTGATTTTACTTACAAAAGCTTATGCGTACTTTAAGTGAAATAATACGAATAGCTCATAGTGCCTCTCTTCTCTTCGAAGAACATATTTTTGGACTTACTGTATAACAATATAACCTATTTTTACGCACAGTCGCATGTGTACTTGATCCTCGGTTAACAACAATATCTACCTTGTTTACCGATGTCACAGGACATTTCCATTCGCCATTGTCATGTAGATTTGCAAAAATAAACACAATATTAAGCAGATATTTTTTAGCAAATTCGTGAGTATACTATTTTTTATCTTATTATACCACTAAGCTCACGACTTGTTCCTCCTATCATTTGATATCGTAAAAAAAAAGAAAACTTGGATAGCTAATAGCGGTACTTATGTGTCTGTCTGTAAAAGAAGAACTTCTTCATCATCACTATCCGACAGTGGCATGGTGCTTTCTTTATCTGTGTTGAAAATTTAGAGGATGGAAAAAAAATGTTGAAAATGAAGTGTAGCGTGACGCTTTTGTTGTCCCAACGACCGTCTTCGCGCTACTGCCCCGCCGTGAACTACGCGCGGGACTGCTGTGTGGCACGCTCCGCCACGTATTCGTTTCCCGCAGGTCCGCCTCCGGACCGCTTTTCCCGCTATACCGCGTCTGTGTGGCCTGACTTTAAGGGCTACGAATTTATGATTTTTTTTCTTTTTCTTTAGGACTAGCGCACGCGTCGCGTGTGTTGTCGTTCATATAAATACGCGGAATTAGACCCGCCGCGGTCCCTACCCGACCCGCGGACCAATCAGTATAATATGGCTAGTCAAAGGAGCGCGGTCACAAATGGTTTCAACTTTATCGTTTAAGTTTTATGTCTGGAGAGAGATAATTAGGATTAGTTGAAAGGCGTTAGCGAACAACAAAAAAACCTGACAATTTAATCAAAATTGTAAGCTTACTGAACATTAGGCAGTCTTAGTTAGGTAACAAGTTGTTTTATAACAAGGAGCTACTCGTGGTACGCGCCGGAGTTTAGTTATAAATTATTACGAGTATATTATATGAGAATTCTCAACAAATTCTCTAAACTTTCGTTCATAATGTTATTATTTACTTAACTGAGCACGGGTATGAAAATAATATTCAGTGTCTATACCTATATATTAACTGCCACGCTGAAGGTATTGGGTTCGATTCCCGGGCCGGGAGAAACATATGTGTGGCCTACATATGTTTCTCTCTTGAGTTCGGGTGTAATTTGTGGTAGTCTTTGTGTGTCCCCATAGCACCCGCGACACAGGGTTTCGCTAGTGCGGTGCTATGAGAGTGTGCGTTATTATTATTTAAAAATTATCTTAAGCACAGCTTCTAGAGTCCAGATGGTAACGCTTTCTTTCTTTGATAGCCGAGCGAATATACTGTTGCCTGTTTATGCGTTAGGTGTGTAACTACATCTACGTACGTCTGCTAGGATCCATCTATTTATGTGTCGTCTGCAACTACCACTCACACGGTCTAGTTGCTGCAATTATTATTACGCATTTGTTAAAACGTTTTGGATAGGTACTAATGGACGTCCGCCTCAACTTAGCCCCATGTCATTCGTAACAGTGCAAACGCTAAGAAATTCACATAACCTCTGTAAATTTCAATTACTTAACCAAGATCTTGAATAACAGCAATGAACTACCGACATAAGATAGCTTTTCATGTAACGGTATTTGTACGTATGTAATGTTTTTTTTATATCCACGACTGCACACTGAGTCGGGATATCTCTTTAACTGCAGGTACATGCTACCTTTAGTTATTTATATACCTGGTGGAAATTTGTAATGCCACCTGGAGGGAAAGTACTCTAAATACTGGAGATAGAAATTTTTACTTAAAGGAAACATTCCTTTATTTTTTAAAAGAAATAAAACTGCATTCATAGATTTTTGAAAATTTCTAGCAACACGCGGGAATCGAACCCTCTTTAATCTGAATAAAATGCACCCTGCACTTTTATTACATCGATCGATAGGGTTAATTGTAAGAATAAAATCTCTCTCACAAAATTGGTTAATTAAATGAAAAAAAAAAAAAATCATGAAATCTTAACGTATTTTAATAAAACGAAAAAAATGGTAATGTAACTAATTAGTTGCTCGAAATGAGGTCCATTTTCTTGGATACACAAATTTAATCTTTTAAATTCGAATTCATTTTGAGTAACTTTAAATAACGTGTTGTGATGAATTGTATTACAAATCGTATTCTGAACCTCAGCCTTCAACTCGTATACACTCGCATAAGATTCGATCGATGCAATAAAAGTGCAGGGTGCTTTTTTTATCAGATTAAAGCGGGTTCGATTCCCGCGTGTTGCTAGAAATTTTTCAAAATCTATGAATGCAGTTTTATTTCTCTTAAAAAATAAAGGAATGTTTCCTTTAAGTAAAAATTTCTATCTCCAGTATCAAGAGTACTTTCCCTCCAGGTGGCATTACAAATTTCCACCCTGTATACATTTTATTATATAAAAATATCGGTTGGCCACCGTTACACACGTTCATAAACGATTTTTTCAGAGGATTTTTGAATTGCACTTGATTTGATGAATATCATGCAATATTCTTTTACTAGAAAATTGATTACAACACTACAGTAGTTAGTGAAGAGAACAATACCTTAAAGAATACATATTTTATTTTAACACCTCAAGTAAACAATAACCAATTTTACCTAGAAAGCGAAATATTTACGACAACAGAAAACTTTTACATAGGTACTTCTGTGGATTTTAAGAAAATAAAGAAAAGAATGTGGTCCGACTGTGTTTAATATTGATAACAAATATTACGTAAAAGGTCAAATTCGCAAGGTCGTAACGATAACAACTTCTGATTACTAATATATTGAACGTATCAACGACGCTCAATTCAGATAGATATTGTGAGACATCGCCAACGTACTGACTGTAATTATATTTAAATACAAACAAAAATGCCGTGCCTTAAGATTATGACAAACTTATCGAAGAATAAGATCCCTGTCGACTTTGTAGAGAAAATCATTCCAATACTTGCGAAATCCGTCAGGAAACCAGAAGAAGTAAGTACTGTTTTTGTTTTATCGTGTAGGCATAAGAATTTTCTTTGTAAGGAATAAGGATTTTGGAAAATCTGTCAGAATATATGTGGTACGTGCATTGATCTACAATGGTTACGTGGAAGCGTTGTAATATTTTAGGAGTTCTATATTTATCGAGTTCTTAGGTTTTCGCGATTGCTACACATAGGAAATGAAACTATTTTTCCTGCATTAATATTAGACATAACTGGTTGATGACTGTACCACTTCAGTCAACCGTGACCATGGGATCTGTAAAGAGCCCGAAACGTTGGTTTGTTTGAAAAAACAAATATACGCGAATTAAATCCAGAAAAATAGTTTCAATTCCTATAGTTCTATATTTATTCATCGATTCATCGAAGTACATATTTAAACATCAAACGCTAGTAAAGTATTTTCGTCAGTCCCAAGCAATTAAAGTGACCCATTGGGATTAATATACATAATTATTATTACCATTTTATTAGTTCCCTTCCCGAAAGGTAAACATTATTAATGAGTCCTATGTTGCAGAAATTCGTCTGTATAATATCAGGAGACAATCCGATTCACATGTTTGGAGACTCAAAGTCACCTGGCGCGGTTGCCACCTTGGAGTCCATAGGCAACCTCGGTACAGATGAGAACAAAATTATCATACAGGCACTTTCGGTGTTCATTAAGAAAGAACTTGGAATAGTTCCCGAAAGGTCAGTTGAAACTTTTGTTATTGCATCACGCTTCTGACCAATATGGTTAAAATTTGCATCATTCGTCATCAAAAGAATTTTATTGTATATTTCTTGTCCAGAGGCTCAAAATATGTATTTATCTACTTTCAGATTTTTCTTAACGTTTTACGACCTGGAAAAGTATAACGTGGGAGTTTCTGGTACTACCGTAGACACGTTTGAATAAAATTTAACCATTTTTGTAATAAAAATTGATTTGAAAATGTTTGTTTTGTCCTAAATATACTACGTAATAAGCTAAGAAAAATGTATGTTTTCTTCTCATTAGTTAAAGTATTTTGTTCCTAAGCAAGTAATTTATAGTACAATTATTATCTATTCACACTACAAATTGCTTGTAATACTGTGTAATTATAACCTTTACTCTTAGTGCTCATTGTGAATAATTGTAATATTTTTTAAATTAAACTTTAATTTTAAACGATTTTGAACTAATGACTAGTTTTCACAAATTATTTTTAACTTCATGTAGCGTCACTATTATTATATTCTTTTAAAACGCCATTGGGCCTTAAAACGACTCCCTCTTCGTCTATCCATGTCACTCCTTCAATGTCTTTCGAAAGTCGTCCTCCTATTTTCTCTTCATTTTTGATTTTGTCATCTTCGTCCCAAGTACCATCTGCCCCTTCTGTACTTAAAATTTCTCTTTCATCTTCTCTCGAAATCTCTTCTACATTTTCTTCCTGTTTGACTTCCGCTACCAAATCGACACTATCTTGCACATCCTTTGCATAGCTTTCTTCTTCTTCGTTGATGTCAGGCTCACCTTGAAGTAATATTTCCTCAGGAATATCTTCTATTTCCGAGTCATCGAATAGTTCTCCACTGTACTTCAACGTTCGGGCCCTATCTGCTTTTAACTTCCAGTTGTGCAGATTCTTCAATGCCATGACATACATAGGTTTAGTCTTAGGAAGAATTCGGTACAATACTTTGTAACACGGAATGCAAATTTGACTTAAAAAACCCACCTGGAAATAAAGAAATGATGTAATATACTTGTCATTCATTCTGTAAACAAACATTGGTAAGGAAATACAGTCTACATATTTCCATATACATACGTATTATTAGAATTTCTAAATTCTATTACAATATAAAGCGACTTTGTACCTGACTGTCAGGTTGTTCATCTGGCTTATTTCTGTCCATCATTGGTATGGGGTCTCTACCTGCAGCACGTTCCTTGTCGCCCTGGTCATAAAATTCCTCGAATATGACCTTGACGGTTCTGATTTGGATGTACCAAGGCTTTGCTGATGCTGACAGGTCAGATGCTGTCATCGATATCGCCATAGCTAATTCTCTGAAGAAATGAAATATTTGGTCTAGTTGGATTAGGCGTGGAAAATATTTTTAAAGCTCGCTGATAATCGTGACTCTGACGAGAACTTATTGAGTACTAATATGAAATGTCATATTTATATGCGATATAGTGTTAGCACTTGATTCGCATCAGATTTAACTTCGGTTCATGAACAGTTGTGTGGTTGTTATATTTTGCATTTACGTTATATTTTGCATGTTAGCTTTAAATAGGTATACAAAATAATTGCACCTCTTCAAACGCATACGCCAATGCCATGTTCGCCGTAGCAATCCAAATAAAAAAATATTCGCATTTGTAATGTAAAAAGATATTGAAAATACCTGTGGTAGTTGTTATTCCAACTAAATTTGGAACTGGAAGTCTCATCGCATAGCTGCTTCAGTTTAGCTAGGTTAGGAAAAAAAGCAGCCAAGTCAGTTGCGAGGATGCAGTGACGAATTAAGCCGAGAACATCTTTATATTCTTCACTCGACATATGGGAGAAAATATTGTGGCCATCCTAAAAGCAATAACTGTTTTTTTATTATCTTTATTCACTAGAAACTTACACAGATTTTTTTAAACCATGGCAAGACATTTCAAAAGATATTACTATTTTGATTCATTTTACGTGGATTACAATATCTGTAAAATGAAATTGTGACCTTACCATTGTAAATTAAGTCTCTTGCAATTTAAGAGTGAATGTAGCTTAAGTAAGACAACGATAACAAAAATCGACCAGCTTAAATGCAAAGAATATTTACGCATCGAAAGTTAATCGTACTTACTTGCTGTAAAATTGTTACAGTGATATTAAAATGGTGATGTTCTAAAGTGGACGTTGTGTACATGGAAGCGAGAGGTGAAGCTGTTTCACTCATGTACTTATTGGTGTACCCACGGTGATCCAGATCATGGCACAGACACGCCACGAAAAGAGCTAGTCTCTACAAAATAAAATGTGAAAAGATATAATTGACAAAATACCATGTGCTAAATTTTCACATTGAATCTTTCAGCAAATCTTACCATTTTGTAATTATACCGTTTTCGTACATCTGTCTTTATTACAGCATACATGCTGTGGGCGACTGACCATCCGTGGTCAAAATTATGATACGGCACGGTTCTGTAGTTTTTTTTCACAGTCAAAATAAATCTGGTCACAGTTATAACATCAAACCTAGTGAGATCGAAAAGATCATTAAACATTGTTATCACTGCTTTGCATTTCTCGACTTCAGTAAATTTATATGGATCGAGATAAAAGTCATTGAAGTTGACGTCAACTATCTCTGGGTCACGGACTAAAGCCTGTACTTCATTCTCTCTGCAAGTGTTATGATAGCTAAGAACCTCCAGAGCTACTTTGTATTTTTGTTCTTTTCTCATGATGCGGTCGTAGAGTCTGGCGTGGTGAAGAGCTAATCCGAAGAAACTGGAGAAGATCTCAAAAGCCACTTCATCTTCGTGGTGAAAACTGTCATCGTTGCGTTTATTGACCATTTGTACAACGCCAATAACTTTGCCTTGCACTTTGATCGGCATACAGAGGATGGATATGGTCTTATAACCTGTAGCTTCATCGACTTCCCTGTGAATAAAATGATGGATTATCTTCGATTTTTATAACCATGAATGAAGTTGAAATGTAGCCTTTTCTAATCATAGCCCTAATAGAAATTGCTACAGATCCTGCCTGCACCTGAAAGCTTTATGAAACCCTCGCAAGTCGAACGAACGAAAAGACGCGTCTGTCGGAACTTTATATTTAGTAGAGCATCTATTAGAGTCGAACCTTAGTTCGTTGCCGAACTTACCTATTAAATCTGTAGTCTGAATACGCATCAGGAATATTCATAGTCTCTCCAGATAAAGCAACATGACCTGCTATGCCTCGGCTAATTGGCATCCTGATTTCCTTTTTCTCCACGTCTCTTGACTGACCGGGGTCAAATTTCAGATCAAACACCGTAGACACCAGCTCGAAATTTCGGTAGTCTACCAGGAAAAGTGAAGCACGGTCTGCGTTGACTAGCCGTTGAGCGAATTCGAGGATGCGTTTAATGAGCTGATCCAGAGAAACCATTTCTTCAAATATTGCTCTAAAAGTAATAATTACAGTTAGTTTTGCGATTTGTAACTTAGAAGCAATTTTTCACTTATTGCTTAAGGCCTTATTAGATTCACTTGTTTTACTACTAATAAAAGATATAAAATGACAATTTTATTTTGACTGCACTTTACAAAGAAATTGATAGTTTTTCAATAAATAGGTATTTTTGATTCTGGTTTACGACAGATACAAGGTTGGAACGTTATCTTACTTGACAACATCGAGAAGAAAATCAGACATATTTCGCTCTCTCTTCTTGTCCAGATATAGGTTACAGAAGTACAGTGTCAAGCTTCCCCATAGTATAAAGTTAGTGGTCATCTTTTCGTCGGAATTGCCGAACGGCTTGGTCCGCCATACTTCGACTACGTACGACGCTTTACTCGACGTAGTGAGCACGGGGATGTATAGAATGTGGTCAGCTTCCTTCTAGAACAATATCAATTGCATATATTTATTGAATTATAAAACTGATTGATCTAAACTTTTGACGTGCGCAGATGACTACTAACATTTTAAATTGTTAAAAATGCAGAAATTTTTAAAATTGCGCAAAAGAAATAAATTAACTGCTTGAATGTTGTAATACCAATATCCGTGATTAATTAAGAGGTTAATCAAGTCGACGTTAATTAGTATCCTGATATAAACATACTCCTTAAAAAAGATGAGACAATCATAAAGGTATTACACGGGAGGAGTCCTGGGTACATAATCTTCATGTTTCGAGCTAATTGTGAAAACTCTAACTTACCACTCCACTACCTTGGTTGTCGAAGAGTTCCACCGGTGTAACAGGGAAACTGTCGTGTTCTTCGCGTGAGACTTTCCAGCACTCAGATTTCTCTGCCGCTTCCAACACCAAGGCTAACACGTCAGGTTCCGCACGCTCCAGAAGCGGCGGCTGATCTGGGGAAGACTAATTTAAGGCAAATAGTGAAAATAATTGCAAGTGAACGGTTCAAAATAAACTAGTTTTTATAGCAAATCTCGAAGGACCAGATAAGATAGATTTCCCATTTAGGCGCTTGGCTGGGCATTTAGACGTCAGTGCTCATCAACTTTTACTGATCTGTCCCAAACCTGTTGAACCTGCCAGTCTATAATGAGCCAGACACTGAATTACGAATTACCTACAGGCCTTGTCACTACAGCACCGAGTTGATGAAATACTATTTTATACTAGCGATCGACTGTAAATAAGCTTTTACTAGGTACTTGAAAATAAATATTCGAAGTTAAAGATAAACTTATTCAACGTTGTGCATTGGTTTCATTGGTATAACATTCCAGTTCCAGCGGTACGACATTCGCTTGTAAATTTCTCATATTACACATCTCACAGAACATCTGAGACACCCTACATTTATTTCACATTGAATGTTACAGCTGAATCAAACTGGTTTTAGGGAAATAGCTTTCCAATTTCCTGTTAATGGGTTCCTTCAAATTCAAATTGAGCTAGCTATAAGGGGACGAGAACAAAGAGCCAAAACTAGCGAGAATAGACAATTTTTATCTTGTTTACCAACTATGTTTGTGATAATATTAGACCCTCATAGCAATAGACATAACTCGCATTATTGCATGCCATTTTTGGAGCTTATTTATCAGCTTGGAATAAACCGTCTTTTTTAGTGCTCAAGCTAAGCCTTTACGAATAAACTTATAAAGTAAAATTACAATGCAAAGCTAAAGATTATACTGCGAGGAATTATAAAGAACATCGCAGTGTTGAGTTCCCGGTTCCGCATAATATATAAACATACAATACGATAAAGAACGAGACACAATGGAGGATAAGATTTTAGATTGTAGATTACACGTATCCGATCAAATTTTGTTTCTAAATTGTGTCGCTTTCAGAACGTCTCGCAATGTTAATTAGGAGGTAAAAAAGTCATAATTAAGTAAATGTAAGACAATAGTATGGGAAAGTTTAGTACCAAGAGGCCAAACCTGCAATCACTGAACGCTTTTGTTTCACTTTTCACTGAACACACGTTTTCTGTGCCTATAACTCTACGGGCTATAAATATTCCTTGTCCCAGAGCTCTTTTGACCACGATATACATTGCTAATAACTCTTTTCAGGCGTTTCAAACAATCCAAACAAAATTAATTCCATTCGTTGAGAGGTCATTAATAATGGTCCTTTTGTTAATTACATACAACTGTCGTTACGAAAACGTTTATAAATAACCATAGTTTCACTTGTATTAATATGGAATGACTGGTACAATAGATATAGGGATTAGATATGAGTAGAAAAATAGAGGCTGATCGAGATCAATATGTAAATTTTAAAACTTTAAAACAAGACGCGGAATCTTATTTTTTTTGAGACAGTGATTTGGGGAAGACTAGGTACTACATAGTGCTAAAAAGGTAGTAGCCTAGTGATAATACTCGTATGTAAAGAAAACAATGAAAGTTTATTTTTATTTAGGAGGGTCGGCGGATGAAGTGTCAATAACAACGTGATAACAACACATGCGTGTTACTTGACTCTGTGATTTTGTCCATCTTCCGAAAATAAAAATTTATAATAAATTTTAGACATCGGTCTACTTTTTTGTGAAATATAAATTAAAAAAAGTGTTAAACTCTCTGTAATAATATTTGAATGCATATATTAAATAATATTTTTCTAATTATGTATATTAATTAGAAAAATATTACAAAATTAAAAGAAATTCGTCGATTGCCTTGTCCTACGACATCCCGCGCTGTGCGCGCTTGTCCCTTACGGTAGACCATACGATGTGATTATTGCAGGCCTAAAATCAACCACAAATAAACCAGTCCAATGAAGACTAACAGAATTACTAAAACTTAATATATATAATAAATCAGTAACAGAGGAATTAAATGCAATGGATTGGAAAAGTGTTCCATATTCTGACACAGTGGATGACGCTTTTTCATCAACATGTGCATACAATCACAGATCTCGCAGAAAGCTTGCTGTAAAAATTTGCAAAATTCTGCGGACAACTGGTTGCTCAAAATAATGTACACTTATATCTGTGAATTGGTTATATCCGTTTATAATCATACAATTGTATAGCCGTTTGGGGTGCGGGTGGGGAGCGGCTCTGAAAGGTTCATCGGTGTCAGCAAATTTGTTATCACTCGAATCTTACACCGACAATGACTCTATGACGATACTTTGTTGATGTTACCAATACATAAACAAAAAGCAAAGGTCATCGGGCATAGATTTTTCTGTTTCTAAACGAATAAAATTTACTTTAGTTGTTTAGTTAGCTGTTTAGTAACCAAAATAGGCTCTTAGTGCAAGAAGATCAAAACCACAGCGTAATTTATACAAGTATACTCACATTGGTAGCAAAGTATTGCACAAATTTGGGTTGGTCCGGGAAAAGCTTAAACACGCGATGTGCATCCGCGCAAACGGCGTTGGCGATGCGTCGACCCATATCGCGCATCACCACATGTTCAGTCGGGTCTTCTTGGAAGGCGCTTACCGATTCCTGACGAGGTACGTAATTCATAATTTCAGTTTCATTTTTCTTACTTTTGTATACGTAGGTTTTCGCGATTGTTACATATTGGAAATCAAATGCCTTCGGATCTAAATCGCGTATCGATTTGTCCCATGACACGGCAGTCATCCATGAGCCTATAAAGGGTCTGAAGTGTTGGTTTGTTTGAAATAATGGTTAGGTAGTTTCATTTCCAGATAGAAACAAAATTTTCCAATTAAAACGAAAAAATAAATTTTATTATTGACTAAAATATACATATCAAGGATTTTTCCTCAAATGATACAAGAGGTCGTTTGTAGAAATACATTGGTAATATATTTTTTTAATTTCATATGAACCGAAATAAATATACGAGTACTTTACCATGAACATGTCTTTAGTAGTCATCTTCTTGGAGACTTCAGTGGATTTTCTAGTCAGCTGATTGGGGACTTCTTTGGAGTGCTAAAAACGCCGGTAAAAAAAACATAACATCAAACAAAATATTGTTCATTACGCACCAGTAAAAAAAATCATTAAAAAAGCATCAGTAAAAAAATTATGCGTAATTTCTAAATACGAATTTTGTTGCTGTATGATAAAAGTGCTCACAAAACTATCACTCAACATCAACTCTTTCGCCTAAATCATTTTAGCAACATATCGATGAAAAACTTTTATCAGGGTTGAACTCTGAACTGAAAAGAATCTTACGTAACTGGCGGAAAGTTTCTTGAAAAGCCAACGTTCGATGTCTTCCAGGGGTACGCAGTTTATCACGTACGACTCCAAGCGAGGTCTATTCTGTTCCAGGTACTCCGCAAAAGTCTGATCGGAATCTGATATTTCGAAACCTAAATTGAAAAGGCTCATATAGCGTAGGTCATGTATACATTAACGTATCTATTAAAAGAACACAAACTGTACCTTTGAAAGATGGAGATGAAACGGGCTGTGGTAGTTTTGTGGTAAGTTTTAACTGTTTTCCTGAAAATAAAAAAGTTTACTATTAAGCTTCAATCATACTATGAATAGCTATAAACTGTTAAAGCCAAATTTTACATCTTACCATTGCCAGTTTTTTTACCGCTGGCATGAGGCCATTGGTGAGGTGAGGCCAAGCAGCCGCGATGGTAATGCGACCACAACTTATGGCCAGCTACTTTGACCTCTGAGGATGGCTTCGCGTGTGTAGTTGGTGAAACTTGACCTGTCCACGAATGGCGCTAATGTCACCAGAGCTTCAACATGAGGTAGGTATACATTTCGTAATTCCGAATTCAATAATTATTTGCATGTGAGCTTTTCGATACGTACATTATTAATATTTGATATAATTACACATAATGTTCAACATTATAATTACACAAAGTGTTCTGCGACTTCTGCCGTTCAATGAAGGTTGAGACCAAGACGTGTTGAGATTATCCCCTACATAGAAATAATATAATAGTTTTCTTTTTATATTTTTAGGTAGTTTTGTCTTCTTCTTTAATGTGTAATTAAAGTGTGTAGAAATAAATGGTTTAAATATATTCGTTTAAGTTTCTTAACAAAACTTTCAATGGATTGTGGGAGCACAACACTCTTTAGCTAAATATGCTTGTCTGACTGCAAACCTTCTCCCGAGGGTATTAGTAGTACATATAGTATCAAGTAGCAGTGGAGGACCTTACCTACTTCTGCCGCCAAGCTGTAAAGTGATTACCTATTACTGCATTAGGGTTTGGACGTATCGCTTACCATCAGGCGCACGTCTTGTTTGTTTAGTCACTTAGTACTATATTTAAAAAAAATCTCACCTGAACTGGACCTGCACGACTCCCCTTCGACCAGGATAGGGGGCAGAAGCCGTGGAGAACGGGCACGCGCTGGCCGAGAAGGATGCATCTCTGCAATAAACACACAACATAAATTTTGGAAAAAAACTAAAACCCAGCGGAAACTTTTTCACTTAATGGAGTACCAACTTCACGTCGACAGGAAACTATAATAATGTTTTCCTCCTTATAAAAGTTATTCATAAGTACAGAAATATTATAAATTAAACTTTGTCGATTAAATAAATATCGATTTTAAACGTACTGCAGCTTTGCTGAGAAAGAGGAAAATACCACTGTGCTTCGATTTGCTAATCTTCCACTAAGCTGCCGTTTCCTAGGAGGAAAGGCCTGTCCGACAAAACAGCCGTCGACTAATAACTAGGTAATTCTCCGAAAGTACAGCTTTATACTACATATTATATTATAAACTTCAGCTCTATCCATTTACAACTCGCGTGCACTCAAGTATTACTTAGTATCCAGTAACCTGCCTATGAACTTATTCTGTAAAATAGGATTAGGTATCCTTCGTGTTCCAGATGTCCGAAGCATCAGAAAACAATTATGTAGTGTGTGTAAAGAGTATTCACACAGGAAGAATCGTTTTTTATCAATAGTTACAGTAGGTATGTATCGAATAGCCACTGGCAAAATCACGAAACCAAATTTACATTTCGAGTTTTAAATTGAACGCGCTGCGTTTGACTGGCTTTCAGTGAGTTCACGATCAGTTTTCCAAACTACTTTTCGTCGACTAGGTAATACAACTGTAAAAATGTTTTCAGGTAAAAAGCAAACGAATATTTAATTAAACTTTTTAGGTAGGTTTCTTGATCACACCGTACTTTCATTTGCGATCAGATCGAGAAGCAAGTTCGTATCGAATTTTTATTTGTATTTGCTGAATGCACGCATGAATTTATGTATATCGTATCCACACACGCACCTACGTCGTTTTTTTATGATACCAAGTGAAGGCACAAACAAGTCGTGCCCCTGGTGGTAAGTGCCACGCCTGTCCATGGCAATTGCAGTGTAATTCAGAGTTTTAAATCGCAAAGGTCTGAAGGGCACCGCTACTGCGCCCATCACCCTGAGACATAAGTTGACATGTGCCTGTAATTTCACCATTACCCTGCTAACCGAAATGCAATACATAATGCTCGCATTAATGCTTCACGACAGAAATAGATACTAAATCACCCTTGTGAAAAGAGCTCCTTAGCTTTACTACTCCTGAACATCTCAGTAAAGGTCTTCTCCATAATCAGAGCTCAAATAACAAGAATAAAAGCGAGTGCATGAAGAAACCAGTGTAGTAGCACTAGAGCTCCTTGTGAAAGAGTTCGTCCAGGGTAGTACGGCCATCTTATCTATTTCTGCCGCTATAATGTCAGCATTACTGTGTACCGGTTTTGAAGGTAAGGGTGCTGGTGAAATTACAGGCATGTGGGACTTGTCAACTTATGTCTCAGGTTGACGGGCGCAGTGGTAGTGCCCCTCAGATCTTTGCAATTTAAAGCTCTGAGTGGCACTGTAACTGATACAGACAGGTGTGTAACTTACCATTAGGCGCACGATTTGTTCGTGCCATCACTTGATGTTATATAAAAAAACCGATATGAGTAAAATATCGGAAAGATAAATGTCAAGACGATTGTAAAGAAGTACCTAACCATGTAGCTAGATATCTCGGTACAACGTTCCCTGCCCTACCCAGACAGGTGCATTCACATATAGGTACGTGTAGAATGTGTTGTCAATCGCATTCATTTGTACGGCATGATCGATTTTCATCAGCGAGCCTCCCTACCACTTGTGTTAGTTCAGTTACCAAATTGAACGCAATTAATATTCTCTGATGAGTTTACCAAAGCACAATATTAATCATAACCGCTTTGATGGCAATTGAATTGCCGACCACTTTAATCACTCTCGAAATGACTAGATTATGCATGTATCTACGTAGTAACAGAAGGGTGAAAATGGCTATTTCTCATTAGGATAGATTTTTTAAATATTATTTAGTGACGGGACGAACAAGTCGTACGCCTGATGGTAAGCTACACGCCTGCCCATAACAGTTGGAGTGCCACTCATGAGCTTTAAATAGCAAAGGTCTGAGGGACACTGCCACTGCGCCCGTCACCCTGAGACATAAGTTAACAAGTCCCATGTGCCTGTAATTTCACCAACACCTTACCTTAAAAAACCGGAACACAGTAATACTGATGTTACTGTTTGCCGGCAGAAATAGGCAAGGAGCTCTACTACTACTAAACATATTTCTATATGCTAAAATTCAACAAGGAAGTGATGGTCACGTAGCAACACGTAATAAAACTTATAACAGCGAAAGACCGTGTTTTAAGTAATAAAGGTTAAAGTAGGTAACACATTGCCCTTCTCTGCAAGAGAATGCAAAAAAAAACGTCGTTGCCTTACTTTCTCAAATTCGCATCTTATAGCGATTTTTCAGGAGCTGGCAAAACTTTCTATTTATTTTAAATTTCTTATCAAGGGTGTTAATTTGAATGCATTACTTTAAGAATAGGTAAAAGTCAGTGTCTCAATATGAAAGGAATGTGATGTGAAATCAACCTGCATTTCAGTAACTTTGTGCTTTAAACTACGAGTTTGAGGAAGTAAGGCGACGAAATATTTTATTAAATTACATATGTTTAACTAAGTAAAATAGTACCCAGCCCACCATCGTGCTGGAAGCTCATTTATTCCTTTGCGCTAGAATAGTGGGGACGGGAATTCCATGAAATCTCCAAACTTATTTTCTTCTGTTTCACGGGTTGGTAGTTGGTAGTGACCAAGTCATGTGACCCTTGAGAGAGACGAAGAGTTCGTTACAGTTTCGTATCCAAATAATTTCATATTTTTTAAATAATTATATCTCATTATTTCACTTGCAAAAGCAGCTTACGAGCTACTTAAATCTACGGCTCATAATGCAATTTCGTGATCTCGACTACTTAAGGGAATGGATTGACGCCCGTGGTAAAAAAAAAAAAAAAGGTGTGAAGAGCCTGTGTTACGGGTCGGCAACATATCGGCAGACTCTCGTCACACGAACAAGATAATTACATATAATGATGATTAGGTCTATTTTACGCATATAACAATTTATACACATAAGCATGTTTAATATCATCTGTGCATCCGTCTGTATGTTACAGCCCTTTATTAAATGAAAACTTACATTAATGACATAACAAGCCAAAAAGGGAACAAAAATGGAAAAAAAACTAAAATACTATAATATAGTCGCTCAATTAATGTTCAAAGTACCGACTCAGAGTCAAAGGAATTTGTCGAGCGAGACTAAGCTTGCATCATAATTTATTGCAAAATATTTTAGTATTTATTATACTGTTTAATTCTTGCTAAAAACACTTTTTTGAATATTAAACCATTGGTGCAACAGTCTGGTATCCAGAACAAGACGTCTAGACTCCCATGATGCGTTTTATTAAACTAGTTTGTTATACACAATTTTATTTGTAAGTCAATGTACACAACTCAAAAAAACTTTGAATATCCCGTGAAGCCGGGAGAAGGATTGGCAGTGTGTATGAAATGCAACGCTGTGGAGTGTATTCAATTACATCATACGACAGTGCGCTGTGTAAAAGTAATTGGAACCCGTTTACCTTACATAAAGGAAGCCCGGATTCAAAGCTCTGGACTGCACTAATCTTAATGTATAGTAATCTGTGAATGTATAGTATATGGTATATGGGCCAAAAATTCATACTTATCTTGTCAGCTTTCAAATAAAGTAAGAAGAAACAATAAATCTCTACATTCTAAATACTGTTATAGCATCATTGCCGTTCTCACCTCTTTATCTTCCCTGAATCTCGAAGACAAGAATCATGAGCCGAAACGAAGTCACCATGAATTTAAAAAGAAATTGTGCGCAGGTGTGGAGGTGTCCGTCACCAATCGTAACACAATATACACTTAGTACAAAATTGAACAGACCGATCGGCGACGCGAATTAACTTAACAACCTTTTGCGTTTGCCACAAGCGCGAGAGACGAGCGGGAGGACCAGCGAAAGCGATTAGCCAGGATTTCGGCTGTGCTTATCAGTTATCAGGGATTGATCAGTTTAATACATCAAACGTGCGCCTGTTTAATTTAATTTTCAAAATGCAGTTCTTCATGTCAATGTTACTTTTCAACGAAATTTTAGAACCCAAAAAATTGTTTATACGTCCGTGTTAAGGATCCAATTAACCTGTTAAATGCAAATTAGGCGATCTTCCATTTAGGTGATCGGTGTTCATAACATCAACTTTATTTGGTCAGTATTTTTTATTAAGGCTCGCATTTGCGTGTCCTCGCTGTTATCTCTAATTATTATCAACACTGTACGACTGATAAACCTTTTATTTGGGGTACACTCATCACAATTCCACTCCGTACGTAAAACGTAATGGCTCAGTGGACAAAAACTCCATCTGCCCTCAAAGAGCGCTCATATCCAATTCACAAAACACTTTTGCAATATCCAATACGAATCGCTTACAGCTGATAGAGCTATTTTAATTGAACCTTATTTATTACACACTATGTACTTATTATATTATTTTCATTTAATCGAATAGTACACCATACCTGTCGTCTTCGGATTAGGCACGTGCATAAGTGTCCCATTGTCATCTCCGTGAACATTGAAATTGAATGGTCATACGTGGGGAATGAATTCAAATGAGTTTTAAATTAAAACATAATATAAAACGGATTCTACCCATTATAACACATAAAGCACGTACCATAAATGTTTGAAAATTCTGTCGTGCATATTATACACAACAACAGCTGCTTCAAGCTATTTTTCACTCAACACTCAAACTCGGAAACCTCCATCTTCCATATTTTAACAAATTACGGAAGATGGAGGTTTTAGAGAAATTTCTTTCAAAGATATTGAAACATCACTTCGAATATAGTTGGTCGAAAAACTGTTCTTTCTACAGAAGTGTAATGTGCCGTGGTAGTTTTC